CACAAGAACTGTCACATCCCCTCTTCGATCATTAGTTTTCAAATATTTCAAATGAGAGGTTAGACCAGAGGAGGGATTGTAAACTGGAGTCTGTAAGGTATGAAGAATTGTTCAGATTTTTTGGTTTTTCAATTGAATGTGACGGTCCTTCACTGATTTGTGCTCTCCTGTTCCCTCAGTTGTCACTGCTGCTTTGCTACAGGCCACTTCCTGGAAGCTGGTGGCCCTGGAGTTTGAGATTGGGAATCAGACAATGTCTAAATCTGAACTGCTATAAATTTACTATTCACCTTCACCTTTCTTTTTTAATTTTTTATTTGTTTTAATTAGTTACACATGACAGTACAATGACCTTGACATATCAAACATTTGAATCAGATGGGATATAATTTCTTATTCTGAGTGTACAGGTGGCAGAATCACATTGGTCATGCAGTCACGTATACACACAGCAATAATAATGTCTGTTTCATTCTACTGTCCTTCCTTTCCCGCCCCCTTCCCCTCCCCTCCCCTCCCATCACTTCTCTCTACCCAATCTAAGGTGACACAATTCTTTTTTTCTTTTCTCACATCTTCATACATGTATTTTGTATAACGATGAGGTCTCCTTCCATCTTCCATGCAATTCCCTTTCTCCGTCCCTTTCCCTCCCACCTCTCTTCCCTATCTAGAAGTAATCATCTTCTCATGCTCTTCCTCCGTACCCCATTTTGACCTTCACCTTTCATCTCCCACATCCAACTTAAAGAGTCCGTTCCTTGGGACGTCTGCTGTGCGAAGGCGCCGGGCCTGGGCTCCTGCCCACAGTCATGAAGTCCTCTGCTTTGATCTGTCAGAGGATAGTCAATGTTCCTTTCGTGTGCCTTGAAAATGCTATTTATATTTGCTTCTGGGAGACACATGAAACTTGTTTTAGAATGTATGGCTAATCTAATTTCTGAATCCCTTGCATTTGGGAAGACAATTTATTTTCATTTAATCTGGAAGGTTTCCTGTTTTCTAACTCAGAAATTAATCAACTGATGGAATAACAAAGACCTTTTATTCTGTTTCATGAGCATACGCCCCCCCTACACTGAAGGCCACTGACTTCCTGCAGCAGAGCAGGAAGCTCATGTTTTACTGGGCTTCCTAATTCTTTATCAGGCTGCTGGGCAGAGGGTGCTAGGTGTTGAAATTAGCACACCTACTGGAAAAGACTCAAATACTGCTGAGTGGGTAACTTTAACAAGTAAATACTTCAATAGCAACTAGAGCTTAGACTACTGGTTAAGTAACTTGCCAAACCTCTTTCAGGCTATAAAAACGTATTTCAGATCTTTATTCATGTTCTCTAGGAATCATTTTCCTTATTTTAAAGTTGAGGAAATGTGGTTTTAAGAGATTAACTTMAAAGTCACACAGTGATGTTCAATTTTGTGACCTCAAGTGACTGTTATCAAAACAAACAAAATCTAATATTTAAAAATTGTTTTTGACAAAAGAATTTTTTAAGTTGTATAAGCTAAATCTTTGGCTACTAAAACAAACATGGCTAAAAACAGAACAAAACTTGAATAGCATAAAAAGTGGCAATAGTTCTAGGATTTGTATAGCCCTTGACAGTTCACAAACATTTGATCCTGTATTTCACTTCACCCCGAGGGGGGACTCCTCACCATTAGTCTAAGATAATCCCTTCCTTCAGCCTGATAGTGGACCAACAGGAACAAGAGCAGACTTGCCCCATGTTATTCTTTTTTCAGACTGGTCAGGTCAGGCTGGTGCTCCTGTGGAGGTAGCATGGGCTCCGGCTGATTTTGTATTATTGAAAATCATTTTTCTTCAGTGTAAACTTTAGCAGGACTTGAACACTTATTATTCATCTTAAAAATACCCTCCTCTCAATCTTTGAAGACAGCTGTCTATTGTTGTCCTAAGGAGTCTGATACAGGTCCTGAGATTCATTCAAAAACGGAATGAGAATGCTTTCATTCCTTTGGGCATAGTGACTAGCAGGTTTCAGAAATGCCTTGCTTCCAATTGGCTCAGAACCTGGGGAAAGAGAGATGGCTTAGCTGGAGAGAAAACTCAAGGAATTTTCAAGTTCTTAGTAATGGCGGGGCTACAGGTAGTGAGTCAGATGAGAAGGTGTGGCCAGAGGCTGACAGCTTATGCCATGGTGGCTCAACAGTTGGTGGCAGAGAAGTGAAATTCTGGAGAAGGGTTGAAACAAATTCCTAGATCAGGGGCACACCTGTGGGATTTTTCAAACTGCATTGGTCCCTGAAAACTCAGGTCAGTATCCAGGGACACAGATACCTTTTTCAAAGTTTGCCTTTTAAATTTTCTCTGGACAGTTTTTTTGTTGTTGTTGATTACTAAATGAAATTTGCCTTTACATTTTGTTTTAAATCAGGGATGAGATAACTTTGCTATTTTTAGGACAAATCAGAAGAGGATTAAAATGAGATGATGTATATAAACCATCTCTCTCAGAATCTTGAGACTTTTAAAAATTAGACTAATTAYGGTGATAGTGTGAAAGAGTTGACTGAGACAAACAGGATAAAGAACACTAGGTTTAAAAAGCAACCCTGGTCAGTAGTTAGCACTGAAAATCTTGTAGGCTTCTTAGAGTTACCTTGTCAGAGAAAAGATGGTAGCTTATTTATTTTACCACTGAGGTCGTGTTCGATGTACCTTTCACTATTTCTTTCTATGGTTCCATGGTATCCATGGTAGAAATATAGGAGCTAGATTTTGAAAGCAACGTAAAATACGGGTTATAGCCTCATAGGCAAAGGTCAAGATGGCAACATGCCAAACTGCCTGACCTCATGYACCAATTTGCTGAAAGGTTTAGCAGTACTTGTCAAATCCAGAAAGTGTYCTGGTCACTCATTGACTTAGAACAAAATTAAACTGTGAAGAGTTGTTCAGGATTACCAAGACCAGATAGTTTGCATCATACTGAGTTTTTGGACATATTTCACTTGGTTCCAACAAAAATAACAGGGCTTACTTCCATGTTCATTACTTGGGAGAACTAAGGTTCAGAAGTTGACTTCCCCAAGTCACAAAGCCAGTAAGTTAGTCAACACTGAAGATAGGTCTTTAGATTTTATACCTAATGTTATTTTAAAATGAGATGCTCTTTTGTACTCCTTAAAACCAGTTTTCCTAATTCTTGTATTTATCCATCTTAAGTAACTGTCTTTTAAGCAGGTGAGAATCAGTATTCTCACCTTAAGTGAACATTTTCTTCCCTATAAGCCCTCCAATCCGATTGRATCTTCTATTTCTTGCAAATAAAGTTTTATAAAAGGAAGGCTCATTACTTCCAGTCACCTAAAAACCTAGCATATGACATTTATTTAGACTTACATACTAACAAATTAATTTTTTCCTATAAATTAAATCATAGTTTAGTTAGTGTCTAAGGAAGAATTATCTCAAAGAAGTTACAAACTAGCAAATTCAATGTCTTCAGGTATACATTAAAAAGAATTAACTAACAGTGTCACACTGTCAAACGAATGATAGCTACTCAAAAGCATAAAGTATGTGTTCAGAGACAAAAGTCAAGTTGATCAGTAGACAGGATAAGTGGAAAATAAGTAGCAGTATTGCACCAATGCAAGACAAAATATACTTTATTTTGACAGCAAAAGCACATAGTGCTGTAGGTAAGGCATGCTACTAGGAATCTGCATATCATCAAAGGCCAGGATGGAAACCAATGAGAAGAAATGCTATTTCTTAATGCTTGAAGACTTAATCATGTTGAAGATAGAGAATGAATGTGTGACCACTTATTTCAAATGCAACATTATAWCTATACCTACTTAATCAGATACCTATGCCTCTAACCAAGAGCCCAAAGGCAAGTAAGAGGAACTTAACTGTACTTAGAAGTCACTTCTCTCAATGACAAAAAGATTTTGCTAATTTGACTGAGGTAAATTTCCTTTCCAAAGGCCTAGAAATTGAACATGCAAACATCCATCCATTCATTCATTTAAATAATTAGCCAATTTTAATGTCATTTATTCTAACAAAGGAATTAGACTTTCTAGAAGTAGTTTGGATAAAGAAACACATTTCAGTACTTAGTAATGTCATAAATTTTGGGCTAAMAGAGCACCCTGAGTCAAATCTGATCCCTTTCTATTCAAGGGCAGTTTTGATTTCAATAGCCAAACTTCTAAGGGAAGATCTGAAAAAATAATGCCACTGTGAGATCTAGTCCTTTGATGAAACTAGCAGGCTCTACAGACTTGTTGAAATCAATGCACAGCTGAAGAGGGAACGGCTGAAAAATACTGTAAAGCTTTGTAAAGCAGTATTTTTAGATAAGCTGCTTCATTTCCCCCTCCTTTTAAAACAGATGCAGATTAAATGCTTTCTGTATGGATGCACATTGACATTCTGTTCAACTGTTTTCTAAATGCAATACTGTGGGTTTAAAACAGTATGCTTTCATTTACACAAATATCTTATAAGTAGTCCATTTAACTTAAGAAATGAAACACTTAACCACTATGAAATTACTTATCAAACACTCTCTTCTTTTATAAGGTTTTTAAAAGCAACACAGGACCAAAAACATCCAACTATTACTTTATTTATATTACTATGCTTAAGTTACATGGAAAAAGACAACCAAGCAGTTCTGCCCCATTTCAGAAAAAGGTTCCAATCAACACCAGTTATGTGGTGACAAGTAACTAGGAATGGTGACATCTTTGGGTCGAGACTGACAAGGAAGAATGGGCTCTGGTGCTACGGTTCATCTCCAACAAGAATATGGCACACGGGCCAGCACAAGCCATGCTAACACTGAGCCTTTAGCGCTGGGCACAGATTCGGATCTCTTCTCTGAAGCTAGCAAATCAAGTGAAATAACTGGGTTTTAAAAAAAAARKTTTWAAAWKRARSCCMAAWWARKTTWAAAAMC